GTTATTAAAGGCCTCTGGGGCAGAGCCCCAAGGGAATTTAACTCGTTTCTCTGTTGATGACTCATCTACAGACCAAGACCTTTCTTTAGAGACCCCTACCAAGTTTCTACGCCCAGCCGTTCTCTGAAATTAGCTGTGACAAAATCCCGTTTTTCCCCCATAAGAATAACATGGGATGGGAATTTAAAGGCCACTGGGGCAGAGCCCCAAGGGAATTTACCACGTTTCTCTTTTGATGGATCATCTACAGACCAAGTCCTTTCTTTAGACACCTCTACCGAGCTTCTACGCCCAGCCGTTCTCTCAAATTAGCTGTCACAAAGAAAAACAGTTTCAAATTAATATATAGATAAAGCTTTGTTAATCTATGCTCATTGACTTTGAATATTGAGTACTTAGAATAACAAGTATAGCCTACAACTCCTAGGGGCCCGGGCCGTCTATAAGTAACGCGTTTTCTTCATTTTTAAACCCTCCCTCCCACCCTGTGACGCTGCATATGGCAAGCCCCTCCCCACCTCCTCTGTGCACTGTGCAGTGTAACCATAGATTAAAGGAGTAATATATGGTGTAACATAACGAATCAGACAAATCATTGTCATGGACATTTCTGTGTATTGAGATCATTGTCAGTACGCAGAACAAAAAATAACCATGTTCATTGCTTATGATTGAGTCCAAATACGGTACTTTTTACAAGGTTAGACTATAAACAATAAAAAAATAGATTTTATAGAAAAGTTATTAACAAATATTTCAAAATATAAAGTTACAGACTTGAGAATTATCGCGTTGTTCAAGGAAGTCTGTAAATAGGTTATTGTGTACCGAGTGTGCGAAGTGGCACTTTGCACTCCCTAGACACATATATTTTTCCTACAGTCACTATAAAGCATAGAAATAATTTTAGTTTTCCGAACACTATACAACACGTTTTTAGGTTAGGTTAAGCCACAGACTATCATGATCTCTATTTATTTAGGGATCGATGCAGACTGTATAGACATTAGTTTTTTTTTTTTTTTTTCAAATGTTTACCCTTAATATAGTACAATTCCAATTTCTATTACAGCCATATTGTAGAATTAAAAAAAAACCAAATAATTTTGTATATTGAAGTGTTGATGTAAAATTAAAAGTTACAGGAAAATTCTCAAAATCTGTACCATATATTTCCCATGTCATTCTTATGGAGGAAAGTCGAAACCAGTTAGTCATATAATTTGCTTATAGTTGTTGATCAAATTTGGCTGATTTAGGATTTATTTATTCCTATTCTATTAACATTTGGTGGGGAAAACACATTTTCCTTGCCTGTAGCTGCAAACCTAGGTACTTAAATCTAATTTTATTTAAATGGGAAATAATATTTACTAGTGTCCCTGTTGCTCGAATTCGAGCAATTGCTGAAGTATTACAGGCGATATTTTAAAACGTATAACAGTCATAATTTCTGATTACCTTAAAATATTCGACTCAAAGATTATGGAAATACTCAAGATGTACATAACAGATAGATATAAACATTTCTTGTAAATATCTTTAATTTTTCAAAAGCTGATCTTGTTTTTTAGTGTTTTCTACAAATAGCCTTACTCATAGCCGCATTAGGTTGTCCATAATGATTATGAATAAAAAAAACATTATTTCTATTTCTTCTCCTTGGTTACAGCCTCCTGTGCCTTAGTGGTGTTCTATGACTTTCCTATGTTTCCATAGCTTGCAAATCGGCTCTTTCAATGAATACTAAGAAATGTAGCACAGTGTTAATTCAGTTTTTTTTAGTATGTCAAATTCAGGCTCTCTCTTGTTTTTCCACTGTAATATTTACGCAAACCCAAATTCAATAGTTAATATTTCATTTCAACCTAACCAAGTCAGTAAATGTTTGTAGCAAACTGTTAAATTAGCAAACTTATTTATGGTTTACAATAAACATAATATGTTCTTCTTCTCACTTTCTGACAACAGCTCGAGTTTCATAACAATGTTTGTTTCGTTTCCCATGTATTTAATCTTATGGAGAAATACAAAACATTAAAGGGCCCCAGGGCCTCACTCTCTAAATTATTTCCCTAAAAAGAAAGTTTCCTGCACAACTTCACGTTACGGTCTTTCCAATGACAACAAAAACATGTCAAGCGGTTCAGTAGTTTCGGAGGAGTAATTGTCACACAAAAAAACTTGCTTGCATATAAGCAATATAGATTGTTTATGGAAATATTTTAGTAAAAATCCAATCAGACAAATTGAAATTTTGCTTAGTCTGCAGATTTGCTGGGGTGGGGGTATATAAATATGGCACTTGATATTGGCAGGGGCAAAAAATAAAACTACAATCACAACAATTTAATACAACACTTAAAACAGTGCTATGTAATAATTTTATTATTTTGCTGTACATTATATCTACAAAATAATAATTATCTTATACATATTTACAAAATTTTTGTATTGAGTAAAATCAATATCTATTTTCATACTAAGCTATAATCTAAACTTAAAACTGTCAACCTGATTTTGTACGTCCTACACATTATCATGGACTTCTCAAACAGAATTATCCACGCTACAAATTACATTTTCTATAGATTATTTTAAAAACTTCTCTACAGTTTTCAGAAGTTAAATTATACATTTTTTTTTACAGTTGGTCGAACAGCAAACTAAACTGGTAAAAAAGTAAGGGATACCTATGTAAAAAGTGTGAGGGAGGAGCACTGATCTTTTATAAAAATTTTAACCATAAATAATTGAGACACCTTCCTAAATATTAAATTCCTGCTTCCTTAAATGTTTCTTCTGTACCGTACTTATTACATGTTTGCAAGTGAGTAAAGTTAGAATATTTAACTTCAGTATTTTTCTATTACATAGCTAAGCAGGAGCTGTCAACTAATTTAATAGCGAGTTGTTGAAATTATGAAATAACTTTCTCAAAACCACATTTTTTATTGAAGTAAACTTTAATGAAGATTTTTTTTCAACTTAGAGTTTGATCAAACATTTTGACGACCTTTTGAACCATGTAGTTGTGAATTTCTACATGGATGTCCCAAAGTGCAATGCAACTATTAAATTAATTTAAAAAAATCTTTTCATCACTATGTATGTGTTTAAAACAACCTGTGTCGTGTTGGACTGTTTGATACTTGTTCCAACTTGGTTACAAAATAAGGGAATCTCCCTTTAGACAAGTCTTAAAGTGTGCTTTTTTATTATAAATCTAAAAACTTATGAGCTAACTTTATGTCATCTATAATAGTTTGTTTACAAAATTTAGCCAATTAAAGGGGGGAGTTTATGAAAAATTGATATTTTTTTAAACGCCATTTTGACATATTTTTGTTCTCCATTAAATTCTGTATCTAAAAAACACAAAATATAAGAACAAAAGATTTTTATTTGCCTAGAAAAATATTGTTATTTTTAATGTTAATAATGTATGGCTATTTTTTTCAACCTTTGGTTATTTTGTTTTTTGTTAATTTTCTTCAAAAACCTAATTAAAACATTACAAATTTTATAGGACCATTAATTGTTGTATTCAAACAAAACCCATCCTACAGATCATAGAGCATACTTAAAGAAACACTTAGAAAGAAAAAGTTATCAATTATCTTTTATGGATTTCAATCCGCACATGATCTAGTAAACCCTTGTAAAACGTGAAAAATAGCTATTTTTAAAAGGTAGGATCAAGTGGAGGTGATAGATTTCTTCCCCTAAAACCGCCTGAAGTTTGTGAATAGAGTATAACATTGTAGATAGAATAGAAATGTAGTGTCCTTCAGAAGTGCCTTCCTATTTGAAAATCAGATGCTCACATTTGAATTTGTAGTTGTTACATAACTTTCAGGTGTTTTTATTTTTACATGAGTGTAAAACTTATTTCGTCCCCACAGCCACATGATTTAACGTCTATGCACTGGCATTTTTAACAAACAAAAAACTTGAAACACATCATATATCCTTATATATAATACGTGAAGGCGATTTCTACGAAACAATACTCCCCCGTTAATAATTAACGGATTTTTACAAACGACGTGTCAAAATAAAGTATTTTTTGTGTAGACCACTCCTTTCACCAATTCCTGTAATACAAATCCTCGGGCTTTGTCTCAGAGGCCATCAAAGTTGGAGTTTCTCCCATAATATTAAATATTTCTTATTCTCCCAGTTCTTATTCTCCCATGGGGGAATCTAAATATTAATTGGAATCTTTGTCCCCACTAATTTGAGAGAACGGCTGGGCGTAGAAACTTGGTAGAGGTGTCCAAAGAAATGTCTTGGTCTGTAGATGAGTTATCAAAAGAAAAAACTAATCAAAATCCCTTAGGACTCTGCCCCAGAAGCCTTTAAAGATCCCTCCACAGAGTTGTTTACATTTTGGCCATGTGAATAATACTTTTTAATAAAACAGCTGTTCATTTTTAAATTGTATTTCAAACAACACGTACATTTATTGGGAGTTACTGAATTCTACCAAATAAGTATTTGCAATGTTATTTTCTGATTTTAAAATTGATTTTCTTCTTTATCATGTCATGTTTTGCAATATAACGTTCCATTACGAAATCAGTGGAAATCCTTTTATCACAGCAATTCTTAAATTATTTCTTATTGAACATTGTACGGGTTGGTGTCTGCCTTTTTCACTACTTTTGCCTACATTTTATCATATTATTTTATTCTACACATATCAAATATTTATGTAGAAATATCTGCTCTTATCGTGTCTAATAAAATCCAAACATAGAAACTTTGTCTAAAATGGTACCCATCTTGACAAATTATTTGCACCTGCCTATATTACGGACTTTGGCGCACTGGTTTGGTATTATTATTGAAAATAACACGACATTTTGGCTGTAAAAGATGCAAAGGTACAAAGAGAAAATGCTATTTAATCAGCTACTGTCATGACAGAAAGGTCATATTCCTTTTAAACTAGATCACATAATCCTTTATAAGATACGTTGATTAACAATATGTAAACGTCAATATATACGTAACAGCCAATTTACAGTATTTTTGCTTTTGGAAATGTCCCATTGCTATGTAATTTGCATTATTTGTTGCCTATGAAGCCGCACGACCAAATAAACGAGGAGGCCCCTAACAGTACAAGAATAAAAGCCAACTTCACTTCAAGTATTCCACTACACCTAATATTCCGTAGAGAGATTATATTGACAACTTTATGTTATTGATAAGGCTGAGACAACTAACTGACATCCCCCATGTCAAGGAATTCCAGCTTTAACAGTAACCCCACAATCAATAATTTCTCAAAACTATGCTAGAGGGTTCATTCATTGGCACAGAGGTACGATATGAACTGACGCGACGTGACAAAGGAAAAATCAAACTTACGCTGTAACGGATATACCTCCCTTTAAAGTTAGAATATGTCTTCCCAAAAAAATATTTTCTTTTGAAATAAAATCATATTACACTGATGAAATCAGGAAAGTGTGTACCTACAAAAGATCCATCAATACGATTTTGATACTATTTAAACGTTCTTCCAAAGGAAGATACACCACATAACATACTAATAATAACTCCGATGACGTACAGTATGGGGAATATTTTATTCATTGAATGATCAATGATGAATGGCAACTAACGCAATTAATATCATTATTGTTTTTACACTTATTACTCTTTAAACAATGCTAAATGCTCAACATATGTATATTTGACCCAATTTATCGCAGTTAGATGAATTAACAAGCCTTGAAAGTAACCGTTGATTCGAAAATTGGCATCGTCAACCGCGATCATGGCAAAATCCTGAGCATCTCCTGCGTTTTGTAGAGATTATAGTCGCCTCCCGCGGTCACGGAAATGTTATCATAGTCTTCTGTGATCGCGGCAAATACCTGAACCCAATCATCCTTACCTATTCGATATAATCACTTTGAAGGCCAGCGGGGCAGAGACCTGATGGAATTTCAAAATGTTTTGTTTGATGGCAAATCTACGTGCCAAGATCTATTCAACGACACCTTGCCCAGTAAATAAATAACTTATTAATCTTATTCTGGTGTTGTACAGTCTCACCCAATTTCACACGCTAAAAATTATATTTCCAAATATTTTCTAGAAGTTCTGAGGAAAAAATGTCCCGTATCGAACAAAATTTTAGTCCCCAGCACTACTAGTATTTATTCTAATACATTTAGATAATGAAGGGGGAAGGAGGACACTTCTCTGGGCTCGCTTAAACCTCTATTTCTCTTTTTTATGTAAATGTCTTCAAACAACAGAAACCTCTTCAGCATGTGCGGTATCTCCATCTGGGGAATCTCAATGAGAGCTTTGTTTCCCAATTGTCTGCGGATGTTGAGCCTACACAGGTCGTCAAGTCTTCTGGGGCTGAACTTCATATGAGTCAGCCATCCTTTGAAACTGTCCATCGGAACATTTGAAAAGTCCTTGGGATATTCTAGTGGATAGTTTTCCAGTTTAAACCTAGAAAATTACATGAGATGCTAAATTTTATTGAGGCCATTTAAATAGCAATGTATTACTTATATTATATTTATTTTCAATTAAAATTATGATTATATGCAGTGGCGGTATCAAGGTAGGGGGGCAACAGGCAACCCCCACCCCAATCAGGCCCTGTAAAAATACATTTAAACATACATTTAGTCATAAAAATGTAACGGAGGTTTTCAGACACAGTTCTAGACGTTAAAATGGCTTTAGAAAGTCGCCAAATGGCTTTAAAAACACAACATTTTCTGGGGGAACCCCCTCCTTTCTTCAGGAGTGTGGAACACCCCCTGTAGTCCATTACAAGGTCGTACGACCGTCACTAACAAAGGGTATGTTGGTCTTGTTGACGTCCTCTTCCATTGCAAACACAAATCATCAGTATAACTGCAATAAGCAATTTATACTTATACGCCAGCCTCGTACGAAGGACGGGTTATCTGCTAGTGATCTTATATTTTATTTCTCTTCTGGTTAGTATCACAAAACCAACGGCTATACTCATTTGCACAGTAATCAGATTTACTTTTAGATTTGTTTTGTAATTATAATGTATGCTACATCAGCACAGGTCTATAAGTTTTAAATTACCATATTATCATAACGGATATGAAATGGAAATCTTGGAGTGTGAAGTAATTAATATAATTAATTAAAAAAAGCCTGGCAAACTCCATTTCATAACAAATTAATTTAAACGCACTACTTTAACATTGAAGCACATCTGGATCAGCTAATTACTGCCACATTGATCATTTAGATATTTAAATCAGATAGCGCAAATTTTAGCCTGATAGTATATTCCAGCTCATGGACATGCCAGTGTTTTTTCCCGTGATTATTGGTTATTAGTCCTAGATACATTAATACTTTTAATTGAAATGTCGACCATATAAAGGTGGGTATTTTAAACCAAGTATGAATGGAGATGAGTGTAGGATGAGTGGCCCGATCTTGTAGTCTTGATAATAACTAATGCTGACATGATCCTTGGACAGGACTGTTAATTAATAGCCCATACAGCCAATGGCAACTAAGGGACCTACAGTTTATAGTAGAATCCGAACCACATTTTTGCCTTGTAATTTACAAATCTGTCTAATTATCAGGATAGTACTGCTGATAGTTGTAGTATTCACTAGTGCAGACGTTAATCCACACCAGGGAGTATCACATTCACAAATCATGCCTATAAATATCCACAATCCGTAAGCTCCAAGTAGCTAGATTACAGGACGACGCCACGGTCCCAGTCAATAGTTATTATATCATTAGTTTTATGCCATCCCCTTCTTGTGAAATATATTTGTTTGTATCTTGAATCACCAACTGAACTACTCAAGTTTATTTATTTCCTTTTTGCAAGTTTTTGAAAATCTGCTGGAACTGTAACATCCAACACTGTACTACAATAATTAGAACTGTTGTTAAGGTATAAGTTCATAGTGGTCACCTTTACAACACTGAGTCTAGTAGGCCTACAATGAGTTTTAGGATTGTAGCCCCAATAGCATTCTATGTCTTAAATTCTCACTCACACGGCTAATTATGCCCAAGGAGGGATTTGGTCGCACCAACTACTGCTCTCCATCTCTCTCTATATCAGGAGATAGAGACCTCTTCCACTGCTGACGTCCTTGGAGAGGACATATCTTAAATTCTACAAATGGTAAATAAATAAAAACTAACCCAGCCGCTACTATTAGTTGTGCAACATCTAAATCAGATTCATTGAGGTAGTCCAGTGTGAACCTGCGGTGTGCAGGCCACATGCAGCGGGTGTCCCCTGACTTGTTGACGTCAGCTCCGGCTCGTATCAGAGACACCGCACAGGTTAGGTTGTGTGACAGCAGAGCGTGAACCAGAGGTGTGCTCACCACGCCTGAAAACACACGACAATATAGAACAAGGTGGTTCATAATTAATGCTTGAATCTTGAATATTTCATCGATATTAATGGGGTTATTTTATTTATTTACTAGGGCCTACCTACTGTATTTAACCAAAGTAATCCAACTTCAGAATTTATAATTATTGGACTATAAAAATTATTAGACTAATACAATACATCTTAGGAGATGGCACCATTCTTAATGGATCAAGAAAAATCTGCAATTTGTCTGGACTGTAATCCTTAACTACCCATGTTTGACATAGTCAGTTCTGGCTCATAAAATGACTCTTGAAACATAACCAGAATTTTAATTAAATTGCTTAAAAGCTGGAACTACATTCTATCTTGCTATTGCTGATACAACTATGAGTGAAAAAAAGGGATTGAAAAGCACTCAGAGAAACAACTTTTATTTTTAACTTCGTTGTAGATAACAGTCTGCTATACATAACCTTTAAGATTTTAGAAATATTATGTCCCAAACAATGCCTTATTTCTTTTTTCCAGAGATAGTTTATGATCATCCATCCCTCTCTCATACTTTCTGATATTATAATACTTGATTAATTCTTCATTTTTATCTTAATCTTTTTATTGCTTACGTGCACCAACTTACAAAAAATATCTGTTCAATTTAATGTTACATACCACCTCCTGGAAAATCTAAGTCCGCATTGTACGAGCATAGTAGCTTCAGTATTTCATCGAATCGACCACGAACATGACTTAGGTCTATGGCTTTATGAAGAGGAGTAATATTAGTCAGGCTGTTCGGCAAGTTAGGGATTGCTCCTGGAAAAAATTGCACATGAAAAAGGCATAACTGATTAAGAAAGAAATACCCCTGCCGCAGCAAACCTGCAGACTAAGCGTATTTCAATTTGTCTGATTGGATATAAAATATTTTCATTAATAAGACATATTTATTCCCAATTTAAATTGCATTAGATTTAACAAGTGCTTAGGTTTGCTGCCACGGGGATACTAAAGAGTTTTCTTTTACCAAAAGTCACTAGTCAGCTATTTGCAATAATATATCTCACTGTTATAGCAATATCTCTGAGGATTTCCAACAATTGTGATAACATCCATGATAATTTCCAGTAATCATAACTCACAACAACATTCAGGATAATCTAGAGCGATAGGGCAACATTTGTAACACAAACATGGTTATTTCCTGCGATCAAGGCAAAATTCATGATCATCTCTACTGATTCATGGCAACAATCAAGATCATCTCAGGTGATTCAAAGCATCATCTGCACATCCGCGATCGCAGACACATCCATGTTGATTTTCCGAGACCTCAGTCTCACCTGTCATTATTTCACATGATCACAGCAACATCCGTAATGATTGTTCTTTTCATGACAGCGGCAAAATTCTTGGTCATCACCTGAGACCACGATAAAACCCGCTATCGTCCTCGGCAGCATAGCAATTATTGGAGGTAGTTGCACCATCATCTGTGACACAATCAAAGCAATTTTGCAATCTTTTTAGTTAACTTGACAATGCAAAAAGAGGACAAACGGTGATTATTAATTTGTGACCCCTAGTAAAATCAGTGACTTTTCTGTGAGTTCCGAGACAGTTAGACACCCTGTTTAGGACAATTCACAGCTTTTTCCCAGTTATCAAAATTCACGTGCAATTCTGGTTCACTGGTTCTTCTACTCACCGTACAGTAGCAGTATCCTGATGGTCTCCAGGTGGCCACAGCCAACAGCTACCAGCAAAGGACTGTCTCCACCCTCATCCCTCAGGTTCACATATGCATCGTTCTTCAGCAGCAGCTCAACCATGCTTGTGTGCCGATGCAGCACTGCGTAGTGCAACAAACATGGACTTTGTGTCATCTTGGCACCCGATCGCAGTAGCAAACTTGTCATCTCCACTGATTTTTTCCAAACTGCCTCACACAACGGTGTGTATCCTACAAAGCATTTTTTTTTATTCTTGTTGTTTCAGAACAAGTACCAGGGGACTGAGCCATGGCTCAGAATAGTTTATTTTGATTGTAAAGCAATATAAAGGATACTCACGTTTTTACGACTAATTTAGGTTATTATTTTTTAAGTTCCAGTGGAATTTTAATATTTATTATGGATACAGCTGTCCAAATTGAGGAAACTATGAAAAAGAGTGCATACAAATTTTAAAATAAGAGTGAAACATTGAGTTGACGCCAATGCGCTCAAAAGGTAACATGTACCATAGCCTATTTAATCAAAAACATAGGTTCGTTGCACACACTTTGGTCAATCTATTTTTTTTCATACAAAAATGAAACAGCTCTTAAATTACAAGCAGGTAGGAATATGAACTGAAGATTGAACGCCAAAATATACACAAACTACCCAGGAAATAAAACGATCTTAACCTTTTCAAAAGATTATTTTACTATTTCATTTAACTAATTTTCTTATCTGGTTGCTCAAAAAGTTTTAAAAGCCCATACACTGACAATTATAACGACACATATCTAATGGCATACAAGGTTACTGAGTGAATCTTTACATTATTCTCTTTATAAATTATTTTACTACAGCTTTAACACAGTGACAAACTGAAACTACATAAGTTACCATGTATTTCCTCGAAGTTGACTTTCGCCCCACATGAGATTAACAATTCCACAACCTCGTAATGGTCCCTAGTGACGGCTAGCATGAGTGGTGTCCGGTCGTTGGAGTCTAAGGCATCAACAGCAGCCCCAGCCTGTACCAGTAGCTCCACAATGAAGACAAAGCCACGCACCGCTGCATAGTGCAGAGCGGCCATCTTGTCTGTGGTTTTGCTGTTTACGTTGGCACCCCTGCTGATCAGTAGGTTGGCAATCTCTCGATGGCCACGCATCGCAGCGATGTGAAGAGGAGTAACATTATCAGCATCTCCCACATCAGGTTTGCAGCCTTAAATTAAAATTCACATTATTAATAGATATATAGATATACTATACTATACATGGTATACCACTGTTATATGGTACTTGTATGAGACTTCATCAGTGAGTAAATTGATGAGAATTGGTAAAATCTACTTCTAAGACCTGGCACCATAAAATTAATAAACATGTTTAAAAACAAATGTTTGGATTCGTAAAAGACATAGTAATTGTTTGGTAATAAATAAATAATTATATATACAGTACATACATTTATTATCATTTTCAGTTATAAAATAACATAAAACAGCATAAAAAAGTCTAATATATTTAGTTTCTTTTTAATGTTTCAGTGATACTGGGATTTTTGGTAAGACGATGCAAATGGGTAAAATGGGAATGGTCCATATCTTGGTCTTGTTACTTTCATTAAGTATCATCTAAGAATAAGATACAGTTATATACTGGATACTGTTATATACTGGATATACTGTTATATCCATTAAGAAGTCTCAAGGTACTGTATTATTTAGGGCTAATCAGCTCGAGTTTATTGTAACCCGAGATTAAAATACAAAAACCACAGTTTAAAAAACCGGCTTTACGAGCTCAAGATTACCAAAGCTGCAGAGTAAACTGATAAGATGCTTTTAGAACAGGGGTAAACCCTAGTTTTAAAAGTTAGTTTCAGGAGTTCAATTACAATTAGACACCGGTTTTGAGCATGAATTCTTTACAACCTAATTGCAAAACATAAAATAATGTTTATAAAAATGTACCCTAATAAAACCTCTCCAGAAAAATATGAATATCACTCAATATCAGATTAGGAATTGTGCTGGTTAACCAGTGGGTAGGGTACTAAAAGGGTAATTTCCTTGGAGCCTTGGGCAAGTACAAACAAGTGTGGGCACGGTATTTATAAAAGTATTAGGGAATTAGAGTATATCAGATCATATATCAAAATAATACTAGAATGTTTGTAAAATGTACTGACTAATAATTTGATGAACGATAATAAACACATTTTAATGATTAGGCCCTAAACAGGAAATACTAAATTGAAACTTTTGTGTAGCTAAATTAACTAAACTAAATAAATACCCCATGTATTTATGATAAAGGGATATTCATGCAGTTATAAATAGCCGGCTATTTAACATCATACAAATCCACATTGAATAACAATAATGGGAACAGACATACCTATATTGTTATACTGCAATCATCCATTGCCCTGCAGGTTTCATAAAAACATTCCCCAATTATAGGTTGTGTTTTTTGTATGTGTGCGTGTGTGTATTATTAATAAAGGTTTACCTAGTGTAAACTGTTATAAGTGCACTTTGAGGTAAATAGTAAAATACGCGAGTAATAATAATTAGCCTACTTTGGTTCAGACATATTTCATTGCCATCTCATTATTTGGGATTGTGTTGGCCAGTAGCAGTGGCTTGACACGTGTTTCCAAGCTGCTGTTGGTAACATTAAACATTCCTAGTGACTGCTATTAAGCTATTGCTGTTTTTAATTTTGGCTTTTACATCATTACGCTATGTCTCGTGAAGTCATTTTTTATCTGCCGGTGGCTATCAGGTCCGCAATTATCAATAACCATGGTCTATAAGATCCCGAGCTCGTGAATCACCCATTAAACGATAATGAATTGAAATTAGAATCAAAAGAAACTGCATGCACATAAACAAAAAAATACTATCTGTTCTACTAATATTTCCATTCTTAGGCTAGGGCCACACTTGGCGACATTGTCGTGGTGACAATGAATGAAAGTACGTAGCATTAAATTAAACGGAGGCAGCCACACTAAGCAACTCACGACCAGTGACAATTGCGAACAGAAAAATAAACACGACCGGAAGAGTTTTTTTATCGCAGCGACAAATACGCTCCCCATGTTATCTTACGGCACCAGCCACACTAGGCAACAAGTCGCTCGCTCACACACCCACTACTGCTTGTTGTTCATGCTATATTGTTCGGTTTTGGACTGGCAATTGTTAAATATGGAAAACATCCAGTAATTTGACACTTTAATCATAAAAATTAGTCCAAAATTAAGGCGAGGGTGAACACACAAAAAAAGTTGTAATTTAATGATATATTAAAACCAACGTTAATTTGTATGATCGGCCTATGGGAACGGGGGGGGGGGGGGGTTAGGCCTAAGGGGCTTTAATGGGGTGAAAAATTTTGTTTTCACCATTTTTGAACCTAAATACATAATATTTCCAAACTATTTTGTCAAGCTAAAAAATAATAAGCGTTTTTTTAATGCTTTTTAATGGTTACGGAGATAACATAAACAATTGTAAATTTTAAGTGCCCATGATATTTTTATGGAGAGTAAACTGTTGTAGTTTGCTTGTTTATGGATATATTTTAATAAAATTTGGCAATATTGTTAACTACTTACAAAAGCTATCAAAATTTAAATTAAAAAGCACACCTCATTATCTTCTCTGTAGCAGCAAGCCTAAGCACTCGACAATTTTAAGGGAATATTTTAGTGGAAATCTACTCAGATAAATGTCAATTCACTTATTCGGCAGGTTTGTTGCGGTGGGGGTATTTAGATATCCAATTAATAGCAACAGAAAGCATTAAACTGTCATTTGACGATTTGGACGTCCACATTGGTTTTAGAAACATAATTTAACCTAACCAAATTTATTTAGTTAAAATGTTTTTTGTTTTTTAATGCAGGTAATTGGTTAAAACTATTGCGCCCTAGTACGAAATATACAGAGGTACAAAACTCTATTTACTGGTATGGTAAAAAAGTCAACTGAAAGGTTGAAATTGTCGCCTAGTGTGGCCACCCCCAGCAACTTTGTCATCGCGACAAAGTTGCGCAAAAAATGTCACTGCGACAAAGTCGCCAAGTGTGGCCCTAGCCTCAAGACTCTATCAAGTCCAAAAGTGAAAGCAAATCAATTCAAACAACAACAACAAACACGAGTTACAAGTCTGTTTGTAATCATACCTGATGCTAAGAGGAATCGCAGTGTGTCTGTTTGACAATACTCAACAGCATAGTGTACTGCAGTGCGTCCTATGTAGTCTTGCAGGTTCACATCACACTCTGGATCCTCACCTGCCGTAATGCCTCCAGTTTTATCCAGAATGTTCGCGTACCACCGATACTGATTAGACCACACATCGTCTGAATCATCCTCCTCAAACCCTTCCACTTCTACGTCCCATTCCAAACCATCCATCCCGTCAGGCGTTTCAGCGTCCAAATTTTCGTTTTTGTTTCTATCACTGTCGTACGTTCCGTGACTGTGGTCGTCATTATGGACAAATATGTAATATCCTAAATTCTGTTTCTCACTCGGTCGAACACTTTGGTAGCAACCGTTACAGTTTTCCTTATCATCGTCAAAGCTGCTAGGTTTTTTTTCTAGTTTTATTCTAGGTGGGCAATCGTCTTTTAATGGTTTCTCGGTTTTCCCAGCACCCAGTAAGACTTGTATCAAGGGAACACTACCCAATACAGCAGCAGTGGAAAGGGCTGATTTACCCCTACTTGGCAAGTAATTTACACGCGCTCCTGGAAAAAATAATGTGATCTGAAACTGAATATTGACTTCTTTTTTGAAAATACATCAGCAAAAAATATAGGTCTAGGTGAATTTTTTAATAAAATTCCTACAGAAACGTCAAAAACCACCGTCATGATTAAATCCATCAACTGTTTAATCATTGGACTTCCACTACTAGAAGTGGGCTAAAAAGAGAAGAATTAAAAGTAACATCACCGTGATTTGGACCATACCCTTAATAAGATATCTGGTAGCCTATCTTGGAATTATTCTAAAATTTACATATTTTATAAAAGGATGCTATACAGAATCAATTTTATTAAGTTTACTCCAATATACAATTTGTTTGTAACAAAAGTTTACAACAGATAATGCACTTTTCTTTGACTTTGTTGGAAACAATTTAATCAAGCTAATGTCAGCATGGGAAGAACTGAAGCTGAGGGCGCAGCTCATAGTCACCTGATGGGGGTAGGCACGGGGCTCATGAATACACAAACTATCAAGAAGAACAGGTCCTACAGATAATATTCTAACAGGTTTTTTCAAACTTGGCGTGATATAGAGTTGTAGTTCTGCACTGAACCACCATGCAGCGCTGGCATCTAGTTTGGGGCACAGTGAAGAGCGAGAGAGAATGGAATTCACTGTGATTGTCCCCTCTCTCTTGCTCTAAGTATGATGACCAGGGTAGGTGCCGAGCAGAGCGTGGGTAACTGAATATTATGAAAAAGCACATATATATATGTATATAGTTTGTGTATTCATTGGCGGAGAGCAGCGGCGAAGTTATGTAAACAGCATAGAAGTGCAGAAACATTGTGTTCCAAACATATATTTCATCATGTTTGGAACACCCTTTTGATCGTTACCAACTTCTGGTGGGAAACAAAATTTCTGTAGTAAACACGTGTTCCTAACTCCGGTGTTAACTCGGCTTTAAAGGAGCAGCTAATCATAACAGAGATAATCATAAAATCACATAACCCATATGCACTGTTAAAAAATAATAGCATTAAGAGTCAGTAGCCTATCATAAGGCCTAGGTCAAATACAATTTAAGTAAGCCTACTTTGTTTTGAATATTAAGATAAATTAACAAATACTTTATAATATTGTACAGTTTATAGAACTACGCCTTACCATTAAACTTAATAGGCCTAAGGTAGGGGCCTACACGTTTTTTACATGTTATTTGTTACCTTTGTCAAGTAGTGTTTGGACAGCATCAATATTTCCGCACCTAACAGCTTCAATAAGCTGAGCTTCTAGGGAGTCCATCGTCTAAGTAGTGACCACAAAGGAGAGCCAACAACATCACTGGAATAAAGAACAAATTAGTTTTAGCAACTAAAGAAGTAAACTTGTAGAGTAGTCTTTCCTAAATTTTAACAGAACAAGCGAGTTAAGTATGGATGGTTAAGACTGGAAGTTTGAAATCCAAATATTAAGCTGAAAATCTTGAATTCAAGAAAAATATCATAAATAAAATAGCCTATAGGAACAAAACCAATGATTTGATTTCAAATTTGTTAAAATCAGAACACAGCAACATTGTGATTAAGCCAGATCTCTTTTAATCGTGGCTAAATCCATGATTATCTTCTGCCATAGCAGAAACATCGTGATGGACAATATTTCCAGATTTTTGTCTCAAAAACTATAGATTTTCCAAACTCATCTTTAGGGGAGTAGCCTAAGTTATTTGTGATTTTGGTAGGCCTATAGTGGCCCATATAATCGATCTGTTTAACTACTTAAGTCGCGTTTACTACGGAGTTATAGGGATGGCCGATTATCGATTGTACAATCAATAGAATCGATTGTTTTTAACAATCGATAAGCTATCGATAGTTTTTTCAACAATCGATAAGCTATCGATAGTTTTTTCAACAATCGATAAGCTATCGATAGTTTTTTCAACAATCGATAAGCTATCGATAGTTTTTTCAACAATCTATTGTATTCCGGCGCGGTGAAGGGTGAGTGTGGGGGCGTGGGGGCGGTGAGTGTCGGTGTTCCTGCTGGGAAGGTCTATTTTTATTATTTTTATTTTATTTTATTATTATTTATTATTTTTTATTTTTATTTATTTATTTTTTTTTTTTTTTTATTATTATTTTTAGGAATAGTGAGAGAATAAAAATAGTGTTAGCTAATTTATTAGCTAGACATAATGAGTAAGAAGCAACACAACTAAAGCATTTATTAAAGGAGTAAGGAAATGAAAATAAAATAAGAAGACTAAAAATAAGTCAAGTGGTTCTTTTCTTACGCAAAGCGACAAAGCATTTGTAATTTTTATTTCTATAACTTAATGCTGATTTTTAAAAACATAAATTAAACGAAAATATTTTTACCATGATACATATTAATAAAGAATGTTAGTTCCTTATTATTAAGTTAAGCATTTGTTTCATTCATGCAATTTCCTTGATTTAAGTTTGATTTTAAAGTAGTACCATTGAGTATACACGGGGTACAGTTTTTTAACTGGGCTACGCTAATATTGATTGAAACTATCGATTCGATTAGTAAACCTTCATGCGAGTATACGTGTATACTCAATGGTTGTACTTAAAATGTTGATTATCTATCGATACTATCGATTGTTATTCTAGATACTATCGGGACAATCGATTGTAAGGGACTATTGACAATCGGTCATCCCTACAGAGTTAGGAACAAGTGTTTACAACTAACAGAGGGTACAGTTTCTTAACTGGGCTATGCTAATATCGAACTGGCTGGGTAGCTGAGTGGTTATAGTGCTCGCCTACTAATTAAAAGATCGTTAAAAGATTAAAAGATCCTGAGAAAAGTCAGTAGCTTTTTGATGGTTCGAAACTGGACCCAGCTGTTCCTGATCATTGGGCTTTAAATAAATGATCCTGGCTAATGAAACAGCTGATCTTAGTCAGTAACAAAGCTACACAGATCATCTCACACCATTCTACACTCATCCTTCGCTCATATTTGGGTTAAAATACGCACCTTAATGATTGATTATTGATTTATTGATTGATTATTGATTGATTGAAACTATTGATTCGATTAATAAACTTTCATGCGATTTTTTCACCATCAGCAAGTTTGGTTGGTTAGGTTAGGTTATGATAGTAATTTTATAGTACCTAGATATATTTAAAAATATCGATTATTATACAATATTTTCAATTCGATAGTTTCAATCGATATTAGCATAGCCCGGTTAAGAAACTGTACCCCTAACAGAAACTAATTTAAGCCTACCTAAAGGCTATGAGTCCAGGTTCAAGATAACACTGTAATTTACATTCAGCACTTGTTATTATGTCTATAAACCTGCATAAATCAAGCAATAATTTTGATTTGATAATAGCTTAAACAAATCTAGTACTTCCCAACAACTGATCTCCTAAACTTAACTCCATAAACAAAACATTATAGGGCTAGGCCTAGGCCTTAGGTTTAATGCTGATAGTTTTTAATATTGTTATAATCTACCTTAGTATATCATCTGTTTGGATATTGATTCCATTATACACCACACTCACTAAAATTTTACATTATTGTAGTTTTCTGTTTTCGTTTGTAAGTTTACACTACAACTAACAGTATACCTCTTTCTTGTGCTTGTGATTTTGACATTGACAGTAGACTAGACAGACCACAGACGCAGAGGCAGAGTGCAGTGCAGTGCAGAAACAGAGACTCAGATACTGTAGAAAACAAAACAAAGTCGCAGGCTGTATTAAAAGCCATGAAACCTTATAGGCCTATACCTTTTAAAAGATATACCTTATATACCTTTTTATTCAACTATGTTTTATCTATGCTATGGATTAAACCATATAGATGAATTAATAATAGAATATTATATTACTTCATCTGCATTGTTGCTATTCAGTCTATAATTACATGTTGAGTTCTCTCTCCTGATAAAATCGATCACATAATCGCTAGGTGTCATTTTATATGACCTAAGAAAATAATTGTCATGTAAAGATAACCTCTCAAAACGACCTCCAACTTGTTTAGCGGTATTATCATTTAGATAAAATCCATATTGGTAGTTTGGCAGTATTTTAACCCGGGACCCCTGGGACTGGAGGCCCACACTCTAGAACTAGACCAGCTCGCCCCCCCCCCCCCCAATGGTACAGTAAACGATATCAGTGTACATTTAACTATTGATATAACTTTTGACAAGATTAATAATTCAGTTTTAAAAAGATTTGTATATCTAAATCTACATCAGTTCTACTCGACCGATTTAATGGTTCGTTGGAATTACTATTTATTTTCTGTTGATTGTTGATTTGCAAATAATTATGAACAATTGTTTTGTTGAGATTACGAAATACATTGAAAACAAGGTGTTCACATTTTTTTATTTGGATGCGACTTTTGCCTGCCTCTATTGAGTATTTTCAAATGCTAGTAATTTGTATGAAATTATCTTCTCTTTCAGATTATCACCTTCCACTAAGGACGATTCCCTCACCATTTCAAAGTTATTTTGCAAAAGATTATGCAACCTCAGAATTTAAATGTTGTTAGAAAAAATTTCTATTAGAGTTTTTTTTTCTAAATTTGTTCAACTGGTATATACAGTTCATCTACTCTACTGGACCGATTGTGTTATCAATGTGCGAGTAATCAATCAGCTAAAACTAATTAGATCAATCTTACTAATATTATAAATCTGAAAGTTTGTGAGTTTGTGTGTATGTTTGTGTGTTGCTCAATCACGCATAAACTACTGGACGGATTGGGCTGAAATTTAGCATGGTGATAGCTCACATTCCCTTTTAACATTTAGGCATATTCTTATCTCAAAAGTCCTTTCGGGCTCCACCCCAGTGGGTCTGTAGTTCCCCATGTTAACCTTATGAGTATTCATATTTAGTCAGCTGTTGAAGACTCTTAAAGAATTTAGTCAGCTGTTTCAACTTTACAAGTTGGTTCTATAATACAGAGGCGTGCAAAAGTAGGTATACAGTAATGAAACATGTTATAAAAAAATATTTACATTAAAACAAAAACCAAACTTTTCCAATTCATTTGAGAAGTATTAAGACACCTAAATCAACTCATAAAAATGTTGTACTTGACTTCCTTGACAATATCTAGTATAGACTCTAGATCTAGTATAGACCAATACTATCCTTGACCTACTTCCTTGTTTGTTGAAACTGATAGATTATTTGTACTGTATACCTACTTTTGCACCCCTCTGTATGCAATAGCATTAAAAAGTTATAAGGTTTCCCAACAGGGTGCAGCACAATTATTATTTTGTTTGTGCATATATGACCACAGCTAATTTGAACTAAGCAGCAACAAAAAGCTGTGATACACAATGAGAACTGTCAAAGTAGGATTGTTTACACTTAGGTTTGAGTTTTTAATTTAATGAATAATTTGTGATATTGTGCGAATGTTTGAAAAATTATTTTTTTCTATTGTCGTTTGGGTCACGAATACTTGAACAGAACCGGTATGGATCATAACATAAACAAATGACGTTGCTGACCCAAATTGGCCAAATCCTATACTAATAGCATTAACATAAAAATGGTTGGACACAGTACCATTTAAGCAATGTTCAATAATATTTACCTTCGAGGCAGTAACATAATTTGTTTATGTTTATGATCCATTAACGGTTCTGTTCAGGGTAGCGGCAATGTGTTCTACCCATCAATAGAGTGGCTGAAAAGTAGCCTAACTTGCACCCCCCCCCCTTAACTTTTCAACCATTTGAGATATTTGAAATCTGTTTGTAGCAACCTTCTTAGCTATATAAGGGGTTAATTATTATGGACAATAATTATGGTCAATTATGAACATTTTGCCCTCAGGGGTAGCGGGGGTAGGGTTAGCTCAAAATTTTCAAAGGACAATGATAGTCAAGTTTGGTATCATTTTACAGGTCTTGACGAAACATAACAATTAATACCGTATCAAGAAAATAGAAATCGGAACAATAATAAGAAAATTTCACTTCAAAATTACTTTTAACCATTGTATTAATCAGCTGCCATTTTGTTATTATTGGTCCGATTTTTATTTTCTTTATGTTTCGTCAAGACCTGTAAAATGATACCAAACTCGACTATACTTGCTATTTAAAAGTTTTGAGCTACCCCCTACCACAGAAAACGTACTACTACAACCGCCCCTACCCCTAAGGGCAAAATGTTTAAAACTGGTCATAATTATTGTAGCCGTTCATATCCAAACAAGTTGCCGCAAACCGATTTCAAATATCTCAAATAGTTAAAAAGTTAAAGGGGGTGCAAGTTATTTTTCAGCCACCCTCATGGTTATTTGGATTTGAAGCGTTTTAGGGCGCTATTTTGTTATTAGTGGGCCGATTTTTTTTTCTGTATGTCAATTTGTATGTTTCGTCAAGGCCTGTAAAATGATACCAAACTCGACTATACTTGTCATTTGAAAATTTTGAGCTACCCCCTACCCCCACTACCCTTAAGGCCAATTTTTTTTAAATTTACCATAATTATTGTAGCCCCTTGTAGCTAAGAAGGTTGCCACAAACAGATTTCAAATATCTCAAATGGTTGAAAAAGTTAAGGGGGGGGGGGTGCAAGTTACTTTTCAGCCACCCTGTATAACAAACACATTGTGTTTATATATCGATGGTTCTACCACAGAGAGTAGAAACATTAAAATAGACCAGTGGCAATATTGAAAAATATTTTCCAACTGTTTCAGTTAGCGGTTTGGGGATGGTACATTGTCTGTGGTTCTAAGCTTTTAATGAGATGCCAAACTCGACAATGCTGCTATTTAATACTTTAATACTTTAGTACTTTTAATACTTTTTTAATGAAATGGCGACTATACAAAGTACGCATTTTAAGTCAAGTATGAATGGAGATGAGTGTAGGATGAGTGGCGCGATCTTGTAGACTTGTTAGTGACTAAGGCCGACTTATTCCTTAGACATAGCTGTTAATTAATAGCCCAAACAGCTAATGGCAACCAAGGGACCTACAGTTTATAGTGGAATCCGAACCACATTTTTGCTTTGGCATATACGAATTAGTCTAATTTTCAGGATAGTAGGGTGACTTGCCCAGTGAATGACCGGTTAAGGATAAAATTCTTTGTTAACTTAACAATGCTCTTAAATGAGATGATTAATTGTATATATTATTATACCTACTTGTTTGCTATTTAAGGGTTTGCCCTATATCATAAATTGTCCATAAAAGATCAATTATGCATGTAAAAATTGTTTTTTTTTATACATCAAAGTCATGAGTCCAGTAAATGACCGATGTCATGCCAGTGAATGGCCAGACCTATGCCAGTGAATGACCGACTTCGGAAGGTTTAGTAAATCACTTATAAAATCAGTAATATACAAAAAAGGGCGATTTGTATAATTTAAAAGTGATAACAAAGCGTAATAGAAAATGCCTAATGCTATATAAAAACATTATCAGAAGTATGTAACATATTTTACATGTAATGTAAAAGGAAAACATAGGCAGGCCTGATTAGCTGACTGTAAAACGTCTTAAAGTGCCAAAGAGGATATTCGATTGGTATAAATAGTAACTCTGGTCTTAATAAAACACCAATCAATAATCATTTCAATGACAAATGTTTACTAGAAAAATAAATCAATGACTTCGATATAGAGCCAGGTCATTCATTGGTTAGGACAAAGAAAATGAATTATAATTTCAGTCTGATATCGAAAATTTTATTTCTTGATAATTTCTGAGCATTTTGATAGTAAATTGTAAATTTGAGTCCAAACCCTGTAAAAATGACCGGGCGGTCATTAATTGGTTTAGCCCAGGAATCTGTTCCAGTATGTGACCGCTTGAATAAAAACAAATTTTTGGCTTACGTATGAAAACAGATAGTTCAAGATTAATATACACTCCTAATATTAATTACTAGCCAAATAAATCGCCATTTCAACAACTTTTTTTTCACAAAAATAAGGTAATGAAATACGCCTTACCTGCAGAGTTCTTATAGTGGCAGAAGCTAAAAACGAAAATTCAAAACATGTCCAAGCTAAATCATCAAAACAAACATAAATAATTAACAATAATTAAAAAATGACGATTAAATATGAAGAATAGAGCAATATCTATTGTCTAAACTAGTTTTTGTCACTCCTGTCTTAATTTAACTCTTTATTATAGATTATTTAGAGTGAAATGGTCATTCATAGGCACCGGTCATTCACTGGGCAAGTCACCCTACTGCGGATAGTCGTAGTACTCACTCGTGCGTACGTTAGTCCACACCAGGGAGTATCGCATCCATAGTGAATTTAAGAACTTTGTCTCCTCATGAGCCGCCCCCTTCAGAGATAAGAAGTAATATAGCTTAGAAGAGTAGACATTTATGGCTTTAGTTGTAAAAAATATCATTACTTCATCTATAGTGGTATGTTCAATACATTACACCGTTCTGGGATATTTTAATCACACTGTATATCGTATGGTATATTAAAATTATTCACATTCGCATAAACTCGTGGCTAACGTCACCCATTCTCTCTACAACAGAGCACTACAAGGTAGCATTTGTTTACATTGTTGTCAGCGGTTGCTAGGCAACGTCGGCGATCAGCTGTTCGCGCGGTGGAGTGCTCGCTCAGTCAGTCTGGCGTCAGTGGTTGTGCAGTGAGGACGTACCATGATAGTGGATACTCCCAGTGGACCACCGTCTATCCTAGACTCCCCCACCCTGGCTAGGGTTGAGAGGGCGAGACTGCGAGAGGAAGGGACCGCCACGGGGAGGAATTCACCGATGAACATGTCTACTTATTGCCCGGTAAGTGATTTGTTTAAGCTCCGATAGGGTTAAGTGTGGAATATTTAATTAGCATGTGTAGAATGGTACATCATATTATCATAGATTGACAAATCTATGATATTAATGATATGGCTTTATACACAATACTTGTCAGAGAATCATTTGCCTAATTAGTTTTATTTATTTGGTTAGTATTGGACAGTAAAACCAAATTATATGTGTAAGTTTACAAAATGCGTATACACGTGTTTAACATAGTTAACCAATCAACATTTAAGTGTTTTTAACATCAATGATTTTCACAAAAACGTACCTATGCTACCAATATATAAATGATTTACGGTAGTCATGTAGTTTCATTATATTCTATACAATAAATACCAGAGTACCTTTTTTGATGATATTTGACCACTAATAATTTCGACACGAGGTTATCATAACAGAATTAATGTTTTGAGCTTACAAAACGCATATGCATATAATCAATATAAGAAACAATTAAGACAAAATTAAAGTTGAAGTAAATTGACAAATAAGTCACGGTCGTGAATAATTTCAAGTTTTAGATTTTAAGCTTCATTTGTCAATGCCATTGGTAAAAGCATTTTTCAAACTTATATTAGGAGAAGCAGTATGAAGAGGCGATTTACTAAAATCTATCCGTCAGTTATCACTAACAAAAACTTTTCTACAGATGGTGTAAAACCTTTTAATTTATGTTTAGATGTGAGTTTGAATTTCGTATGGTCGCCATTTCAGAAGAAAGTATTAAAGTAATTTGAGATGTTAAACTTATAAAGATATGTAATTTCAAGTTTATACACACGTTTACCATTCAATTAATAGATTTTTACTTTTACTTGAACATTTTCTTGTACCTCCTGTATTAAAAAGGTAAATGCTAAATGCAACCAAAGATTTTGATCGCGACTTTTAAAAACTACACAAAACATTTCTAAGCGCCGGCGAAGTATTGATGTAGGGGTAGGGGATAACAGACGCACTCCATTCACAAGAACTACCCTTACTCCTGCATAATGCACACGTCTTGATGTGATGGACGAGGGAGTGGAGGGGGTGACAAGTACAGGTGGAAGGGGTGATGGGGATTAAACAGCTGATCTTCAATATTTTATTGCGGAAGTCGCCTTGTGACGATTTTATTGTATCAATGGTTTTCGCATGAACTTCATAAACTGATACCATAGACTAACCAACACAAGTAGACTTCTCATCCCATTGTAAATTTTGAAGCAAGTTTTTCGTGTCTAGTTCATGTACGTAGCACAAAGGCGCTAGTGTTGACGAAACTTTGTTTCTATTATTTAGGGTTGATTTCTTGATTTGTGCTTTACTGTTTGGTTATATAACTAGGGGACAAGTTATTATTTATGATTAGATCGTATTATTTGGTTAAACAAGGTGTTAAATGGCTGTAATAACGGGAAACAAATTGTAAACAAAACACGACATCTACAGAAAACCGTACAGAACTAACAATAAAATTGTCTTCAGCTGTTCCATAAGGATGAGAAATCTACTAAGGGAGTATGTTTTATCTATGCTGATACCTACCATCTTTGTTGCGGTCAGTTAAAATTTCTAATTTTAATTGACTATAGGCCTACAGCATTTCAATGGTGGAATGGATACATTGATATATTCGGAGATGTATGTGAAACTTAATGGAGATAGCTTACCATGGTTAAAAGATGTGAAGTGACTCTGACCATCGTGAGTAGCGTTCCAAGTATCCATACGTACAAAGAGTAGTTGTTCTAATTACTGTGACTATATACACTATATGATATGTACAGCAGGGATAAATGTCCCTTAGACTTTTGTAATTTTTCGATGTAACAAAGTCAACATCTATAGCTGTACTATTATAAAATGTAGCTAGTGCTGGTGTCTGCCTGGGCCGCTGGCATGACTAAAATACTAAACCGAAACAGCTTAAGCAAAATCCAATCGTAATTATTGATATTAATTACTTAGATGAAAATTATGTGGTAAATTAATAATTTCAAACTTTATATAGTATACATATCCTTTAATTAATATTTCGAAACACTATTGAAAAGGCACAACAATATTGCTGAAGTTTAAATCAGCTGATGTTTTAAGTGATTTATTGTGAGTGGAATTTTTAAAGATGTGTCTAATAACATTAATTTGTTTATTTAAATTAAATAAATAGTGGTTCAAGAAACCTCAAGATTCATATCCAAAATAGAGGAAAACGATAAGGAACGAAGGGAGACGATAGTGAATGAAGTATAAGAAAATGTTTTTCGAAGATTTGGTAAGATTGTTTTATATTAGCCTATAGACAACTTAACATGAATTATTATCAAAATGTCAGTTTCCATAAATTATCTGAATTAAAAGCCACAAACCTTTATTAATTGAAGTGGTACTGTTGAATTTTGTTTCTAAAACGGTTGGCGGGTGTAACTATTTTATACCAATAGATAGGAGGAACAAATCTTCTCTTGCACTTCCTCTTCCCGTTGCAAAGCACGGGTACAGCAGCTAGTACTCTATAACCTATGATAATATACTCGTATCATTGGATTCGAATCATGAGGCAGATTTTAGTTAGTCCTCACATAGACTAGGACTAGACGAAAATTGATGATCAATGCAAATATAAAAGGGCATTGTGATGGTTGGTACCAATCACAAAAATCGTAAGTCCTTCGCTAGAAACAAAAACGCCAACTATATCTGAATGTGAATGCTAACATCAGGTGTTTCTGTAGCCAGGACAATTTACGCGTAGGCCTAATACAATCCCTATGATCTAGGACTTCACTTATGTATATGATAAGTTTAATAAACACTATTCAAATTCAGTTAACAATACAAAATATCAAAAATTTATCTATTTTTTAAAGAGCAAGTTCTTAAGATCATGTAATAAAAAATTATTTTTTTATACAATTTCTAACTCTCCGTAACGATCAATTTATTGAAAATGTTGTGACTTTGTTGATGCAAACTGGTTTTAAGATTTACTATTATTACAATAGAATATGAGTTGAATTGGATGTACCGATAGTTCAAGTTTTAAGCCTCAAAGTGCAAGTGGTTATCATATGCAGTCTTGCTTGTCGAAATGTTATCAGCTTGTTTCCGCGGGAAGTAAGATAGCTGCTGAACCAACTCGAGTATTAATTATAGCATTAATTTACAATGCCTTATTTTAAAATTTTTTTAACTTTTCTTTTCACAATTATTTGGGAAAATCTGAGAGGGCAAGAAGAGTGTTTGCTAAATTGTTCAACAATTTTTTATATTTTTTTCCATAAAAGCTCGTCTTTACAATTTAAAATATATTAAATGACAAACCTTTTTATATACACTTTAAATTATTACTTGGATGTATTATTTTGAAGTGATAGGCCTATTTATATTTACAGACCTACTCTAAACCCCCAAAATAGTTTTTAATGTCAACTAACATTGAATATAACATCGTGAGTCTACCTAGATATCCTACATGTTGAGATAATAGTGATTCATCTTGCAGAATCGATGTCACATAATTCTGACTTCAGTTCACAACACTCAGGTAGTTACGCCGATTGTATTGCGTGTTCACATTGCCGAATGACGATGCCTGCCTACATTTGCTTACTCTGTGCTCATCTTTTAAAATTGCTCTATGTATTCAGGTCATCACATTCAAATATCACTTTCATCAGCGGCAGTATTTAAATTTTTTTTTTTTCAAGCGGTATACTTTTCTCTGTCAAATTACGTTAAAATATAAACCGGGTGTTCGCATAATAAATAGTGTGAAGAATAATTGTTTTCCTAACTTTAAACATAATTAGCGAGGCTTTAGTTTGGAAAACAACACATGTCGAAACACAATGCACAATGAACATGCGTAGTAAGATAGAAACACGCGTCGTATAATGTATAGTGTATGATGTATCTTGCACGGTTTGTAGCAGTGGTGGTGTTGAAGCGCGTTTCTGCCCGCATGGATGTAGCGTTTCACTTTTTTCACACGATAATATAAGGTCAAAGTATCCCCCATGTGTTCACAAAGTGTACATAGGCTTACTTTTATTATTTCAAATTACGTATGCACTTTAATACATTACATCAGTAGGAAACATGTTATTTTTTCTAAAAGACTCATTGAAGACACTTTTAATTATCAATTGTGTATTTAAATGTATTTGAGAGCTGCAATCAAACTACTATTGATACATGAGCGATGAAAAAAGCGAACGAATCTTGTCCAATAACAGGGGCATATACATATAAATAAAAGCCACAGGGGGGATATATAACACTGTTGCCTTTATTTCACCATACGTGTGCGAGACCCTTTCAAAGCAATACTTTTATGAAACTGTAATAATACAGTAAATACTCGGAGAAGAGACGTTAAAATGGTTCTGGTTGTACCATAACCGAAAGTAATGCTCGTTAATGTACAACTAGGTCGGATAGGTACTTTGAATTCACAGTCGCCAATATGGTTTCTATTTATCCGAAGCCCTAGTTCTATTTTTACAACAAATTTGCCATTTCCGCCTAAGTGACAGACAATGTAGGGCGATACGTGATGCTATCGCGCCCAGGGAAGTTATCCATCACTCTGTGCTCAAGTGACGAACGGAGAGAACTAAGTGAGCTATTAGGGTCGAGAGAAAGTACTTCACGAAGCGCCCAGGGAAAGTAAACAGCTGGTGTCATTGGTCAGTACAACAATGTACTTTTGACAATGCTACCAACGTTACAGCTTGTAGTATGCTGAAATGCATTGTAGTCGATCATGCAAAACCTGTTACTCTGAAATATAACTTCATAGGGAAACACAGTAAGGATCTAATGTTGGCACAATGGGAGCGTAAACATTAGACCACGTTGTTTTTATTGGCTGTTGTGTTCGTTAGGCAAGTTTTTTCCTAAGGCCAACGTTTTACTTTTTTTTCACGTGTAACTTATTTACATAGGCCTATTATTGACACCCAATCCTTAAAAATGGACCGTTC